TGTGTAGTGCCCTCTGTTGGTAGCAACAGTAATATGCACTACCTGAATAGCAAGACTGGTAATGTGCATATTCGGGTAGATTTGCATATCGCTAATTCTACATGCAGGAGAGACATTTTGTGTTAATTATGGTCTTCCCCACCCATTTATAAATATGTAATTATGTTATAATAAGTCACTGTATGTTGCCTGCTATGATTTGACTGTTTGTAATTTTATTGAATTTTCAGTTGAGACTGAGGTGTGGCTGGATGATTCCTATCGGGCCCTGCGGTGGCATGCTTACCACCTCTAACCTGTATTGATGGAGAAGACTACGATGGTCCTGATTTGTTGTGGGATACTATTGAAACTAGTCTCTTTTTCGGAGATACCGACATTGCTCGCTTCTGGTCAATCCGAGCTGAGCGGGCAGACAACTGGGACCTTACGGAGATAGATGCCATTCAGCCAGATCTATCTTTTCTTGCCAACCGGGAGTGGGAACTAGAACAGGATTATGTTTGCCTATTCCAATGTATAACGCCACCTTTCTCTGACATGATGGGGCTTATTGACTGTATACGGATGCCATATAGGCTAGTCCCAAGTAAAATAAAGTTTTAGACAGTTCTACTTCACCCTCAATTTGGAGTCCACCGGAAGCATTGAGTTTAGTTCCTCCTCCTCAGCCCCAGAGATGGAAGACCTTATTGACTTGTCCTGGGAAGACACCCAGCAGGCAGGTGGAGATGGGACCGAGGTCTCTCTACCGGTCCTACACGGATGCTCGGCAGTTGGCACAGATCCCCAGCGGCAGTATGTATCCCAGGGAGCTGAAGGTGCCGTCCTTCCTCCCCAGTGGCAGTGTGTGTCCTTAGGAGAGGAGACAGTTGGTCCCTCTCCCCAGCAGTCTAGTGAGTTACAGGGAGACGAAGGTGCCGTCCTTCCCCCCCAGCGACAGTATGTTTCCCAGGGAGCTGAAGACTCTCAGGGTTATTTAGTAAAGTATGGAAACTGTCTGGATTTCCCCAGAGGCAGTTTGTGTCCTTAGGAGAGGAGACAGTTGGTCCCTCTCCCCAGCAGTCCAGTGAGTCCCAGGGAGCCAAAGGTGCAGTCCTTCCTCCCCAGCGGCAGTGTGTGTTACAGGGAGCTGAAGGTGTCGTCCTTCCTCCCCAGCGGCAGTGTGTGTCCTTAGGAGAGGAAACAGTTGGTCCCTCTCCCCAGCAGTCCAGTGAGTCCCAGGGAGCTGAAGATACTGTCCTTCCTCCCCAGCGGCAGTGTGTGTCCTTAGGAGAGGAGACATTTGGTCCCTCTCCCAAGCAGTCCAGTGAATTACAGGGAGACAAAGGTGCCATCCTTCCACCCCAGTGGCAGCGTGAGTTCTTGGGAGAGGAGACAGTCGGTCCCTCTCCCCAGCAGTCAAGCGAGTCCCCGGGAGCAGGAGAGACATTTTGTATTAATTATGGTCTTCCCCACCCATTTATAAATATGTAATTATGTTATAATAAGTCACTGTATGTTGCCTGCTATAATTTGACTGTTTGTAATTTTATTGAGTTTTCACAGCAATTTAATGTAATGACCATGTAGGCTAGTCCCAAGTAGAATAAAGTTTTAGACAGTTCCACTTCATTCTCAATTTGGAGTCCTGTCTCTTATTGGGGGAATCTGCCACAAGGGATTGCTATGCTCTGTAGATTCCCTTGCTATAATCACTCCTAAGCTCTTTTAAGAGCGCGTTCCTGCTTCGCTCTGAAGGAAGAGAGGTTCAGCCTGCGGTGGTTGTGGTGTCGGCTAGAGTGCTTGGAATCCTCAAGAAGCGCTTGGAGCATCCATCAACGAAGGTACCCAGTCGGGGTGCCAGGTGATCCGTTACAACCATCTTCTCTGATCTTTGGACTCTCAGAATCAACTTCTTTCATTTATTTACTTATTATCTTGCCTATTAACACGCACTCTATCAATTGAATATTGGCCCCTGTCATGGTTTTTATAACTCTAACTTATTTGGGAAAACTATTTCTTCAAGACGGCACTGATGTACGTAACACTAGATTATATATGCATCCGTCGTCAGTGCCTCAGTGCACAGTTAATGTGTTAACTTCTTGTTCGCAAGATTATACTTTTTCTCCACTCTCCGTGAGTCCGTGTGTCTCACCTCTGGATCTCCCTTGAAAACCTTCTGCTTAATTTCGCCTGACTCCCTTGTTGCCTACCTCGGATTGTATAATCACCTTGCCTTTGTATTACCTTTTTCTAATTCTGCCTGATTCACTTGTTCACAGACACACACATATACACAAAATATTTCCTACCTTTTGTGAATTTGCCTGGGGTCCAGTGGTGGCTCAGCCTGATGGGAGTCAGAGTTTCCACTCTGACTCCCTCCTTCCTTCTTCCACCCGCGCGGGCTCTCTGTATGCTGGGAGGAGTGACCGGGGAGTCACTTCCTCCCAGCAGTGATGTAATCACAGAGGCCTGTTCGCGCTGTTAAAGTGCCCAGCGCTGACCGGGCCCCCTGACAATCCATCTCCATTGGGTGGCCCTGACAGCATGGGCCACCCGATGGACCTCCTAACATGCGGCCCCGGCGGTTTGCCGCGCAGGCTGGGGGCCGCAAAACGTGGCAGCTGGTACCCGGTCGCAGGGGTCCACAGGGCGGCCGGGCCCCCTGAAGTGACGGGCCCGGTCGCTGCTGCGACCCCTGCGACAGTGGTATGTTCCCCACTGCTCCCACTCAAAGTTGGTGTAACTGTCCGGATTCCATGTATTTATCCTCAGCAGTCTCTGAGAGGATTCTCCTCATGGTTTCAATAACCTGGTTGTGGGGGATCACCCATGTATAGACTGCTGACATCTGCAGTAATAATGAGGACTCATTTCACAAAATGTTCTACATCCATTGCCCATGTAGGAAGAGCAGGTACTGTTTTTTAAAGACAAGAGGAAAACATTAGGCTATAGGTTCCAACAGGATATCTTGAGCAGAGACTATTGGTCTGCTGGGTGGCATGAAAGTATTCTTGTGGATATTAGCAATATTATAGATCAGTGGTCTTCAACCGGTGGTCCGCGGACAAGTGTCGTTCTGCAATAATTTATTGGCGGTCCGCGAAAGCTTTCACCCGACTACACAACTACTATAGTATAGTGGTATAGTCGGGTGAAAGCTTTTGCTGACTGGCAATAAATTTCTGCAAAATATTTCCCCGGTGCTATGATCATATGATTATAGCACCGGGAACTGTGCCTCCCTCTCCCCTGCCAGCTCTGCAGGATCGGTGGGGAAATCAAAGATCTCCCTCTCTGGCCCACTAGCAGTGTAATGCTGCAGCCTGCAGGGGAGGGAGAGAGGACCCGGGGGAGCTGTAACTTGCAGCTCCACCGGGTTTTCTTCTCACGAGCTTGGAGCGTTGCCGTGGATACCAAGGTAGTGCTCCGGAGATGCTAGAGTTCCCTCTCACAACTTGAACCACCAGGGCTTCCCCACGATCCAACAGGGATTTGTACTTTCCCCCTTCCCAGGCAAAAGTAAGCAGGGTGGGAGTATATAAAAATTATTATTTTTGTTAATTATTATTTTTTTTTTATAATTTATTAATCTACTCTCCAACCTTACAGACCCACAATAATTATCCCCCATACACACACTGCCTATATACACACACTATCCACACACTACCCCCTATACACACACTGCCCCCTATACACACACTGCCCCAAACCTTCACACACACTGCCCCCTATACACACACACTGCCCTCTACACACACACACACACTGCCCCCATACACACACTGTCCCCTATACACACACTGCCCCTATACACACACACACTGCCCCATACATACACACACTGCCCCCCATACACACACTGTCCCCTATACACACACACTGACCCCATACCCTCACACACACCGACCTCCATACACACACACACACTGACCCCCATACACACAGACATTGCCCTCGTACACAAATACAATGCCCCATACACACAGACATTGCCCCCATACACACACACACTGCCCCTACACACACACACACTGCCCCTATATTCACACACTGTCCACCCACACACACTGCCCCTCCACACACATTGCCCCCTCTACATACACTGCCCCCATACTCACACTGCCCCTATACACACACACTGCTCCCATACCCTCACACACACACACACACACACACAAACTGCCCCCCTTACACACACACACACACAAACTGCACCCCTCACACACACACTGCCCTCCTCCACACACACACAAACTGCACCACTCATACATTTTATTATTTTACTTCTGGCTGACGCCGGTCCACAAAATATTTCTCCTGTTTTCGCTGGTATAGATAATTACTTTAGAGAGAGTGAGATAATAATGATAATAATTTATACATGTATCATTTTCCACTGGTCGCCATGGTCCCTTCTCTGCCCAATTGACACTGCAACAGTAAATCATACTGTAGATTTACCCTTTCATATTAAATGTTAAAATACTGGTTGGATACTTGAAGGATTTTCCCCTAAACTTTGATTTGGTTTTTGCCCAAAATTGCAAGTTTGGATATATAGATCGGACCCCCTATCACTCGACATACAGTCCATTAATCTTAGATTGGACCCCATACCACTCAACACACACTCCATTAATCTAAAATCAGACCCCCTACCACTCAACACACAATCTATTAATCTAGTTCAGCCCCCCTACCAAACAACACACACTTCAATTCAAGATCGGACTCACTAACACTCAGCAAACACCACATTTATCTAAAATCTCCTTTTCACCTGGCAACCACTACCTTCATTACAGGACCCTCTTTTTCCTCAGGATTAACTGTATTTGATTTATAAAACACTCAGCAATTTCTTCATCACTATAAGTCTCTATTCTATCGTAACAGAGACTGTGTCCATGGCAGGCTACAACACAGGATATTGCTATTTTAAGGTCAAATATATAGAACTTAAAAAAAATAAAAAAACAACAACAACAAAAAATCAATGATAGAGGTTAATTGTTAAAAATTTATTTATTGAGTTCATTAAAACAATGTTATCGTTTATTAGTCAATAGATTTAGAATAGCAATAGAGTAGTGCGATTTCTAAGTCAGTATTGAAGGAGACTTTCTCAAACCTCCCTGTTTCTCTCTGTGTTGGAGTCTACACTGGTGTATAAGAGAGGACGTAGTTTTATTTGTAGCTCAATTTAAGAGGCAATTAAATCCGACCGTAGTGCAGCGCCTGAGCACTGTGATCTTCTGCCAAAATATTATAGAGCTAATTACACTGTTTACATTGCACGTCTGCAATATTGTTGCTAATCACAATGAAGGTATCGGCTATTACATTTGATCTGCATTAACTCATCTTTCCCAACCTTCAATCAGTATTAGCAGTAAAGACACAGTGTCCGTAGATGGTATACAACCTCTAGTGGTCTTGTAGGATCATTACTAGTTATTATTATTATTTATCAAGCGCCAACAAGTTCTGTAGCTCTGTACAATGTGTGGGCTAACAGACACGTATTTGAAACCAAACAAGTTTGACGCACAGGAACAGGGGGATTGAGGGCCCTGCTCAATGAGGTTACATGCTAGAGGGAATGTGGCATAGTGACACAAAAGGTACGGTAGTTAATACCAATGCGTGGTTTTGTATATCATTTTCCAGGCTAAAATACAAGTTGGAGTAATGTTGATTTTGTGATATAGATATGTGATTAAAGGGAGACATTTAGAGATATGTGTGAGTGAGGATTAATGGCATTTGCTGTTAATAATTGAGATATCTATTGGCCAATAAACTATACAATTGATTTATTTTTATTTTTTAACCAGTAACCTATATCAGTGGTTTTTTTTTTGTGTTTCTCACTACTTACGAGAGGTTTAGTTTTCACTTTTTTGATATAGGGCTTTTTTAATTTAGAAACTCTACCCTTTGTGTCTTAAAAAAATGTCACTATAACATGCCCATCTTCTACAATTATTGGTTTGATGAATAAATCTTTAGTTTTAGAAGGTGTAATATTCATCCATGTGAAAAATCAGTCAAATTCTCTGTGCCAGTAAACACATTGTATTCGAATTCAAATTATTATACATCAAACTAAATGTTCTTGAAGTATTGGTTTTAATTGTGCATGGAAAACTGTTATAATATTCCAAAATTAATAAACACAATTCTCACATCATATTCACCATTTTCTTTAATTGTGATAAAATTACTCCATTTATACTCATGTTTCTGAATTTCAGGTAAAGATATAAACTTCATTTAATGTATGTTAGAAGTCATATTGCTCAGGATATGCATTTCTGGTTACATTGTAAGGCAAACTCATTATATTTTCACATTGAGAATAGCAACCATCATAAACACAGCTGATACAATACACATCAATGTGTTTGGTAAGTAGGTACGTAGTGCTATATTTTGTACAAGCTTTCTTTCCCAGGAAAAAGGTAGATAGAGATCGATGATGCAATTTAGGAAATATATATTTTGTTGCGCAGCATCTTCACTTGCTTGTAACATGTGTGTGATTTTGGTCCAAATGTACTCAGCAAATATTGACAGCAAATATTTCTTATTACACATTTTGTATATAAATGTGTCCACTGTTATCCAGATCACATTGCTTCTAATAATGTAAGGCATGCAGTGAGTAAAAATTATTGGGTTATTTAATATCCAGTTGGATTTTCAGACTTATTTAACCTACCACAATGGCATATGGGAAGCTTTAAAGACGAAATGGCTTGGGATTGTTGCCCTTCTTCCTACAGTTTGGACAGGAAGAGGCCAATCTGAGATGATAGAATGGTCCTGCATTGCAAACAGATGGAAATAGTTGTGGTGGGAAGGATGCTACCTACTCCACTTCTCTGTGACAGGGATAGGGTTTGGACAAGAAGAACAGAAATCATCCATCTCATAGCAAATTTGGCAGCAGACATCCGTTTAGCAGTCAGGTCATGGCTATGTAGAAAGCCCACCCCCCACCTCCCGCAACTTAAATCAAAACCAGTCTAGAGAATACTCTTGAGGACACAGATAACCAGGAACGCTGCAGCGGCCAGCATACGACTTCCTTGAATGGAACTCTGGCCACCATAAGAGTTGCACATATCTGTGGTACAACAGTTTATGTCCTTGGAAGCCATCCCCACGTTATATTCAAAACCTTCACATTCAGAGGTATTAGCACATCGTTTGGAAATCTGTTTGTGGCCAACTACATAAAAAGACAAAGAACATTAAACAAAAGAACATATACAACAATAAGAAAGTAAGAAGAGACACATACATTTCTTCTCTGTGATCATTAAGCTGTACTTAGAATACTATATATATTTACAAATATTTTACACTTTAGGAGCATATAATAAATATTTTTTCTAGTTAATATATGTCACCTCATAATGTATTTTAGGGTGTACTATTAAAACACCTTTTGACATTTATTCAGCAAAGGTTGTGATACTTTAAGATTCATATTCATGCTATGAACAACACAGTTCCTTATACGGGGACAGCTAGATTCTATTTGACGTGCTATGCTTATCTCTGGTAATAGTGTGTATGTGAAAAAATTATATTTAGTTACAAGAAATCAACTTATTTTGCCTAATAGAATGGAGCACTTAGCACCACATTCAATAGTAATTTTGAAGACCAACATATTAGTGCAATTAACATTATGGAATGAATTGTATTACTTACTCCATCAACTCATCTTAGGTAAATGAACAGCAGTACTCCTTTTGACACCAATGTAAAATACTATTCGATTTGCAGAGATACTTTTATCTCTTATAATGGAATCTAAACTGAAGATTACCCTCTCTGATGCCCCCAGGCCAGTTTACTCAATTTGCCCAGCCCGTCATGTATATGAAGCTTGGTGTATGTGATTGCAAGGATGAAAGCTGTGACTGGATGGATCAATTTGACTAGTTTGGGGTATGACTTTATGTTAATAATGATTAGGTGGGTGGCTAGATGGCAATAAATGCAAGGTGGGTGGAACTCACTCATGTTGAAATTGAAGATGATCTGCCTTAAAATAAGTGAACTGCGACTGTGAAGTCCTAGTCAAGGTTGTCCACGTTTCTGCCAGTTACCTAAATAAGGACTGGTTTCTATTGGCAATAAATAAAGGTATCTCTGGCAACTGAATAGTAGTTCTCATATTGCCGACTATAAAAAAAAGCTATGCAATTGCAAGTGACATTTCTTATAACAGAATCTAGTCATGGATGGTTAAATTGGATCCATCATCAACAATGTGTAGATGATAAGGTACCTTTCTGGTGGGCTCTCCCTCTTTCCACATTCTAAACTCATTGTAGGTTGCTCTCTAACAGTCAGAGCAAGGAGGAAGGCTGTGAACTGATTAAGTATTTATAAGTTGCAATAGCAGCCTGCAAGGCTGTCTGTCTGTCTGTCTGTCTATCATCTAAGATAATTTTATCTTTTGTAACACCACAGCATTTATCTCACAGACGTCAATAGGAGAACTGTTACTTAAACGAGATTCTATTAGAAGTGATTCTGTCCAATGACTTAGCTTTCTTAATAGAATCTAGCCCCTTGCCTAAAATATTGCACTATAATGGACACCATCTAAAATCTAAACCTTTTTATAACATTATTGTGTTTCTCGATAAGTTAATAAATCAAAAATAAAATTGTTATAAATTTGCATTTTATTTTTTTTATTTTAAATGCTTGAAGCATCATATTAACCTCATTAATATACATGTTATAGTAATTTTAGTTCAAGTGCATGATAGTAAATGGTTTAAAGTACCAGACTTACAATTGTCAATTACAAATCCCCAGATAATAAGAAATGTAATTTGCTAATGGGTGGAAGCCTGAAATATGAGGAGCCACACCTTAGTGTTAACTAATCACTGAGAGCAGTGATAGGTCGTGGCTGTTACTATTTTAGTTTATCAACATGTAATCCACAATTTCACATTAAGTGGAACACCATGAGAATGATATTTTACAACAAAGGCAGTGTCTGTAGTTGGCCATTACTGCAAGCAAAGCATAGGTGTGCTGAATAGATGACTAGGTGTTCCCCGGTACACCCTAATGTAGGGCAGGTCAGGTTTCCATTTCAGTTCCCGCCTACATACACTTTTACTGCAATTTCACCTGCAAGTTCTAAAGATGAATAGCCTGAAAGACTTATTTTCTGTAGAATTAAAGAGGTGTGTTGTGACAGGAAATGGGAAATATATATTCTTATCTCTGGTTTGTAGAATATGCAGATTCTAGAAACCAGTGTTAATTTTGGCGTCAAATTTTTATTTAATTTTAGTCATAGTCTTTTGACTAAAAAGCCATTTTAGTTTTAGTCAAACTTTAGTCAACTGAATTGTTTTAGTTTTAGTCTAGTTTTATTCGACTAAATCTGAAAAATATTAGTTGACTAAATTAACACTGCTACAAACCAAATGATAATTTAGCTTGTTTATCAAATTAAAATGTCCCCGTAATTATAATAAATAGGTGAAGTGCAAAAAACCCCCAGGTCAGTAAGGCTTCCAATTCAGCTATTTTGCACTTAAATTTGAAATTCACTTTGGGTTGCCTGTCATTCACACTTTAGGGAATAACCCTGTTATTGTTTCATAATGTGTGATCATCTCAATTTTATTTTGATTCTCACAGAAAAATCAACATGTCTTTACTGCACCATATTTCTCCTTACTTTGAGCCCACATTTCCGTTAACAGGACTGTTCTGATCTGTATATTACAAATACGTGTTTCTTTAAATAATTAATAGACAATCTTGTTACCATTATTTAAAGAATAATACTTTTTAGTAATGTTACACAAACTTTACATGCCACTTTCAACTCTTGGAATTCATTCACTAAACATTGAATCAAAGTGAAGTGAATTCCTAATTGAAAAATGTTGTCAAAAACTAGACGCTTTGGGAAAATGTTTGTCTTGAGTATCTTGCCTACATTTTGCAATTCTTAGCTGAAATGCAAAAATTTTTAATCTAATCTATTTTCCCTTTCTTCTGTCTCCCTCTGAAATTCCCCTTTTCGATTATTCAAGTTGCAGCGAATAAACAGTCAGCTTAAGATAGACATAGGCAATATACATATGTATATTTCAAATTGAATGCACTGGAAATGTTTCAATGCTTACAAACTGTGTTGATTTTAGTTAGGCACATAGGAAAATTTGGGATGCAGGTCTCCATTGGTTGTTGGTTACATTCAGTGTTGTTCTTCATTTCTTTACAGGCAAAACATTGCAGGGATGTCACTAAATAAAAGATGGGGAAAAAAAAGTAAATATGTTAGATGCTGAAATGCAACGGGTGTATTTGTGTGCATTTTGCTAATCACAAAAGTTTTTAGTACAATTTATTGAAATGATTAACGAATATCCATTTAGGCAGTACGAATGCATATATTTTAGAATTGGTGAATATATCTAAAAACAAACGCATACACACAAGCATATTTAAAATAACTCCATTTTTATTTGTTGAAAGCGCAGATTATATATTGTATAAATCTGTTTATTTTATCATTTATGCTTGTTTCAGCTTGAAGTAAACTGTGAATGACGCTGCTAGTAATTATTTTACTTGATCTCATAAAAAACATAAAAATGAAACACTAAAGTATTTAGCAAATATAACAGCAACGTCGACTTGATCGTTTTGAAAATTCTACACGTTTGTGAATAAACTAAGCATATTTTTTTCAAAGAAGTCCTCTTGAGTGCACTCTTTTTTCACTGGTATACAGGCACAAGACCGGCAAATTGAGTGCGGGATATTCGAAGTTTACAAAAAAAATAACATTACAATTAACAGACTTTATATATCCTGTATGTGCAATAATCACATTGTAATGTTCTAGGAATTAAATGTAACATTTTTAGAAAAAAAAATGTTTTGTCTCAATATATTCTTCTAGTTCTATTTTCATATTACTTACTATTTAATATTATTTTGCACAACAAGTAGGCTGCATTAGCATTGCTAAGTATCTGCTATAGAATACAATATATGATGTGTGTATTGTCACATAGATTATTATATACCGGTATGTGTGACTTACCATATTGTAAGCTGCATAGTACAAAAAGGAACACGGATGCTACGATATAAATTTTCATTGTGAAGGAAGATACAGAGGGATACCAAGTGCCTTCTTATCAAACGTGTCAGCAATGGGGACTAGAAAATATTGGTCTTTTAATAAGAGGCTTGGAAATGTAAACCTCCCAAGTTACATTGCACTGAAAGTTTGTAGGATACAGGGCGTAGTCAACTGATGCCAAACCAAGGAATATTATTCGCTGTTTCTTTTATTTTTTTCATATAGTAATTGAAAATAAAGTCACACCCTGTTGCTTAAGACAGTACAAACATCTCCACTGTTTTTTTCCCAAGTATTACAAGTTAAGTATTAGTATGGTGATTATGATAATGGTAAAAGGAAAACAATGAAATTTAGAAGAATGAAGCTTAAAAAATGAAAACATCATAATAAATAATGAGACCGAGTGCCGAGGGGTCTATAAAACTAGTTAGAATAGTGAGATGGTGTCAATTGGTGACTGTATTGTGGTTGGCCATGAAACTGTGCATTATGACTGGTCAATAAGGGATTTAAAATAACAGACAGATCGTGTTTTTATACATATATATAATATATATATATTCATTGTTGAACAAATTTGCATATGCCCACCCAGAATCCTTTGCCGCAGTAACATCACTGCAAATTTGTGATTTCTGTGGGAAAAGCAAGTCTTATGGCTTGGCTGGTGTGCAGATCTTTGTTTAACATTGCATTAACTATTTATATGTAGTATATATATATATAAAATCATCTGTAAATTTGCACTCCAGGGCAGGGGAGTACCTAGGGCATTTGGCACCCAGGGAGGATCCTATATTTGATAACTCCCTAGCTTCCAATTTTAAAATGTAATAAATACCTGCAAGTTTTTAAATGCATTTAGCACTGAGCAGTGTTTGTGTAATTTAAAAAAAAAAATGTATTTAGCACTGAACAGCATTTGAATGTAAGCAATGATTTTGTATGGAGTATGTGTGAGTGAATGTAGGGGTGTGTTTATATGTAGAGTTGGCATTTGATTGCAGACGTGCATTTATGTGTAGTGTGGTTTTCTAATATCATTGTATGTTTGTATGTAGTTTGACATTTGAATGCAGCAGTGTATTTGTGTGCGAAATGCTGAGATGTATGCACATATACACATAATGTCCTCTGTGCTTGTGATCCGCATGCTCCATCATGCATTGTGTGCTGTGCGGAGCGTTGTCATAGAACCCAAGGCCACACTCTTGCAGATCACGAGAACAGAGGACATGCTACGGCTAAAAGGTGAAAAATGGAGACTCCATTGGCCCCTCTTCATTGACAACCATACTGTGTAAATAAGTTGCCTGAAATTGGGCCCCTTACAGCAGACACAGGGCCCTGTCAAAGTGCACCTTGGGCACCCCCCCTAATCAGTGGCATCCGGGGTATCTGTCAGTTTGGTCATTACATGTACAATTGGGACAAGGGGAGTTAATAAATCGAATCTGTGACAACGATCTGGATGTTTGTTCCTATCTCCTAGAGCAGGGGTGGGCAATCTGTGGCCCTCCAGATGTTTTGGACTTCATCTCCAATAATGCTCTTAGGGCCATAATGCTAGCAAAGCATCAAGGGAGATGTAGTCCAAAACATCTGGAGGGCTGCAGATTGCCCACCCTTGTCCCAGAGGATAAGGAGTAGGAACTTAGGATGTGCATAGGGGATCCAGAGTGCACATGGTGGTGTAGTGTGTGTGTAGGCAGTACAGTGTGTGTCTGTAGGGGATCCAAATTGTGTATCGGGGATGTAGTGTGGTGGTACTATGTTAACCTTGCATTTATTTGGAAACTGTCACTTTCCAGGATTTTTAATATTATATTTACTTATTTCTAATATTTAAAAAAATATGTAATTGTGAGGTGTGAAGATAAAATTAATCCTTGATGTCTGTACCTATTTATCCTCCATCTTGGCTATCTGTCAGTTCCTTGCACTTTGCACTTGGCATTCACCATAGAGAAAGCACAAAGAGGACAATTAATAGAACAGTTTCTATTTCTCCTCTTTATTTGAAATATATTCCTGGTTTAATAAAAATTAAAATCAAGCATCACTTTACAAAAAAGATTAAAGCAAGTCATAGTTCATTTGAAATGTTTTGTTCCATAGTTACATTTCCAGAAATGTGATGATCCCTTAAATGATCCCTGATTGTCGTAATCTGTTCTGTGTGAACTGTGTTTAATCCCTTAATTACAATATGTAAAAAGGGGAAGTACCAGCGCTAATATTCGTAGACTATAAAACTTAACAGTATTGTAACCCAATAAATTGCCAGCTGCTATATCACCATAGTCTTATCTTTTAACATAGAAGTATAACCGATGTGAAGGTGAAGCGCTATATATTTATTATGGGTAAAACCAAAGAAAAGTGTTCAGTGTAATAGAGAGCAGAGGGATAGATAAAAAATACCTTAACTTTTCTTATATCAAATGACAATGGTTCATATGCAGTTCCTTAAAAACATAAGCACAAAACCCCAAACATAGTGTAAAATGTAACAAAAAGATAAATGAGTCGAAGAAGTAAATTTCCCACTCACACATTTAGGAGCTAAACGAAAATAGCTCAATGGAAGCGCTCTCAGGGTCTGTAAAGGTGACCCTCTCCATTCTTTAGTATGAGTTCTTTTCTCTCTTGTGTTCTATAATTGAATGAGAAAGAGCATATTTGGTGCAATAACATAGCGCTAGTGTCTTGTGATAAGTACGGTAAAACAGGGTACTTACAAACCCAGAGCCATCCACATCGGCTCTGATCCAATAGCGTATGTGGTTAAGGACCACAATCCTTCTTTTAAAATAGCAGGAAAATGCCAATAGTGAATATAAAAAATATATAAACTTTATTGTACCTTTACAAATAAAATATAAATATAAAAATATATAATAAAAAACACTATATAGGCAAAAAGTCCAGTAATCCAAAGTCAGTTCCTCACAGTGTTTCCAGGACGCGTTACGCCGTACAGGCTTCCTCAGCTGGATGTGGAAAAGTCTAGGTGTCTTCTCTTGGACTAATTCCTGCTTTATGTACCTCTCTCAAGGGTATGCTAATTGATTTCTGGCTTGTAGATTTGCGGGCGATCACCATAGAAACGGTAACGCCCAGCGTTCCAAGCCTCACTTTTTGTTTATTTCCGGGTATCTGTGTCGGTTCGTCACTTCCGGTTTCGTATTGTTATGCCGATACGTCATTTCCGTATGTTCCAGCTTGCGGTTCATCGTCTATGTAGTGTTTCCGAACCAGCATAATCATAAAGAGGATACAAGAAAGTTATTTCTATACCAATACATATATAACTTGTTTTTGAAATTTCTTACACTCTTTCGTATATTTTCATTCTTAAGTCTTTCAATTAGTTTCCTAGATATTAAACATGTGTTCTGTTTATCTTAATTTTTGTGCAAACTTATAATGTAATAACACTTTTTTTTATCCCAGTACACAATATTCAGTACAATCATTTAATACATCCTATATTTTGTTTCTGTCTCATTTCTTTTTATTAAATCATATTATGTATTCTAATAAGTGTTCTAAATATTGGTGTGTATCTTTCAATAAAATTCTGTTTAAAAGGATATTCCATTTAAATGAATAAATGCAATAAAATTAGGTAAAACACTAAATAAAACAAAAACTTCTTATTAAGGGGTGCGGGGATATATATAAAATCCAACTACTAAAGCATATTCTTGCCAAATAAAATTATATATAAATAGATATTGCACTTCATTAAACTTGATTTTCTTTTGAAAGGTCCAGAATAACATATAAATCTGACTATTCAGAGACTAGAATCATTTTAAATACGATATCATGATCGGATATCATAATCAAAATCTTGTTTTAATGGTGTCAAATACCATGTAGAATCTGACTATAAAAGAAGGAAGGAATACATTAAAAAAGAGAATTCTTATTTTAAAAAATGGCACATATCAAAGTTGGCATTAAGTCCGTTAGGGATAAAAGTGTTTAATTTAAAGATCCATTCCATTTCATGTTTACTCATTTTAACATCAAAATGTTTTGTTCCATAGTTACATTTCCAGAAAAGTGATGATCCCTTTAATGATCCCTGATTGTCGTAATCTGTTCTGTATGAACTGTGTTTAAACACTTAATTACAATCTCCAGACTGTAATTTCCTTTGGGCAGGGTCCTCATCAACATATTGTTCTTGTAACATTTTGTATTTGTCTCATTTATTGTTGAATTTCCCCATTTCAAATATCGTAATGCTCTGCAGAATGCGTTGGCACTATATACATGCCAATAATAATAATAATAATAATTGCTACCTACATTTCTTATGCTTTTATAAGACAAGCTGAATCTAGTCATGTCTGTCAATGTTCAGCGAACCTCCTGTTCTAAGTTTCATAGAAACAGAAAGAGAGAGAGAACTTTTTTTTTAAACAAGTTAATTATTATTTTAGATATTAAGCGCTGTTTACTGACAGCACTAAAACTGTGTTATTGGTGATTAAGTAGTTTACATTAAATTGCCTAAGAAAGTCCCACCTGTTCAGATATTACATTGAGCATTTAAGTTCAAATACTATCCGGAAACAATAATTTGGCATCAGGCATACTGCTCTAAAAGTCTAACAGTATTCCCCTCGGCTAAATGCCAAACTTATTTTGCTTATTACCGTTTGAAAGGATGTATTATTTATCATAGTGATAACTAAAATATTCAATTGATTTAGGAACTGTTATGGACTTACCTCTTCGTTAGGATACCAGCGCCAACTTGATTGGTTTTAATATAACACTATTCCCCTGGCCCAGCCTTGCTTCCACCATCTCAGAAACTTTCCCAAGCAGGGTAATCATCTGCTATAATGCAGACATAATGACCAGAACATTGTTGTCAGATGAGATTGATGTATGGAGGTCTAAATCTTTGTTTACCTGCCTTCTCCAGACTGATTTATACTATTTATGTATTGAGTCATTGAGAGCCTATAAAAAAACCTCTCCGCAAATAAATACATACATTGCAAGTAATGAACTTGAGTGTTTTAAATAAAGAAATTTAAAAATGTCAGACAAATAAAATTTAAAGGAACTCTCTGTGTACCAACATAACTTAAAGAAGCTCTGTCAC